GGCTCCCCCCCCCCCAGCTGCCCTTGCTTTGCGCTGGCGTGCTGAGACCCCTGCTTCTGGTCTCAGTTTACAACAACCCGTGTTTCTATCAGGGGCCATTGACCCACCCACAAAAAATTATGGACCACACCCCACCCCATGGCAGGGGTAGGGGGTGGGGAGGTTTGAGAGAGGTTGAAATGATGGGGTCAGATTGCGGGAAGGGGCTCCGGACTGAGTCAGATGGTTGGGACCAGGAGAGGATGTGGGAGGGCTGGGGCCAAGGGGCTTGGAGTGTGGGAGTGGGCTCAGCGTTGAGGCAGGGGCAGGCTCTTGGAGGGAGATAAGGAGCAGAAGAGGGTATCGACTTGGAGCAGGGGGTTCAGGGTGAGGGGTCCAGCCAAGTGGTGCTTACCTCAGGCTGCTATTTGCACCTGGATTAAGTCAGGCTCCACATTGCTCCTTGAAGCAGCCACCATGTGGCCAGACAGCTCTGTGCAGTGTGTGTTACCTGCAGGCGCTGCCCCAGCAGCTCCCATTGACCACGGTTGCTGGCCAGTGGGAACTGTGGAGTAGGTGCTGGGGTGGTGCACAAAGTTCTCTGATTGTCCTGTGCTTAGGTGCTGCAGAGAAATGTTGTCTGCTTCCAGGAGCAGCATGGAGCTGTCCAGACTTTTAATGACCAGGTAATGCTAGAATCCCCCCCTTGGCAGGGTGAACTGGCACTTGTGGCTCCAGCCCTTCAAGGGAAGCCAAGATTCAGGGCTTCCGGTCCGTGGTCTTGCCATATGCCCGATAAAATTAAGCAGTGAGCTGGATTTGACCTGTAGGCTGTAGGCCCTCATCCCTGATCTATGCAATTTCAGCAAAGCATTCTCTTTTCACATATAGGGTTTCACAGGATATCGTGTTATAAAGATGACCTGTGACAGACAAAGCATATAGGAGACTAACATTACTGGCAAAAATCATGCTAAGAGTCACATTGACTGCAACGTTGTTTTAAATGAAGATGGTGAAGAATGATTTTTTCCCTGTCTGTGAAATACAGTTGTCAGAATTTTTCCAGATGTTCGATGAGTTCATCATGTCTTTTTGCTTGTACTCAGATAGTTAGTCCTTTCTCACCATGAACAGTTTTCCAGTTGTGCTGACAAGATTGAAATAGTTTAGACGATAAATTGGCTGCTTTTGTGCTTGCAAAACCATTTCTGGAGGAGAGAAATATATAATCGTCTCTGGTACAGTCCTGGGCAGTTTCAGCCATAGATTTTCTAGATTCAGCTTGTGATAAGAATGTTAGCTATAGGGTTATAGAATTGTTGACTAACTGCATTCTGTATCAGAGGCAGAAGTGCGGGGTGCTAGGCGGGAGCCAGTCTGCGAGGGGATCCAGTTTAAAAACCAGCTCCACTCACTCACCAGCTGCCTGCCACCCCACGCTACTATCTCTCATACAGAGAGAGCAGCTCTGGGTGGCAGCAGCCCTTGTCTGTGGTGGGTCTGAGTTCCTTGTTCACAGAGGCTGCTCTGCCTCCCATGGAGTAAAGTGAGAAGGCTTCTGTTCATTTGACGACCAGGTTTTCATGGACCTGTTTGCAAACCATATCTGGCTAGACAGTGCTGTCTTTGGGTACGTCTACACCACAACACTATTTCGAAATAACTAGTGCTATTCCTAAATAACTTAGTCCGTGTCTACACAGCAGGCAGTTATTTCAAAATAGTGTCAAAATACTGTCAAGCTGGAGGATTTCTTACTCCGATTCCTGTAACCTTCATTGTACGAGGAATAAGGGAAGTCGGAGGAAGAGTGCTCTATTTCGAAATAAGTGCTGTGTAGATGCTTCCTATTTCGAAGTAAGCTATGCAATTGACATAGTTCAATTTGCGTAGCTTATTTCGAGTTAAGCCCTGCAGTGCAGACGCACCCTCAGAGCATTAAAGTAGGACTCAAAGGCAGAGCTTAACTCAAAATAAGCTACTCAAATTGAAGCTACATCAATTGCGTGTCTTATTTCAAAATAGCGTTGCAGTGTAGACGTACCCTGAGAAATACCAGTAAACTATGTGGGGGAATTGCCTGTTTGCCCTGAGGACTCCCTTTTCCAGGATTCCACAGGTGCTATATATGAATTGAGATTAGCCAGCGAGGTGGTGCTATTAAGCAGCCCTAAAATTTGAATCCATGATGGTTAGGGAAGGATACTCTGTTTGAAAGACTATCAATTTAGGAATTTACTTCCCTTGCTAGTTGGATAGACTCTGAGTTATTGGTCACTGGGGCAAGGTATAAGACCCATCTTGTTTTTTCAGGCTTTTGCCTAGGCAGGGAGGAGAGTGGCTGTGCTTGTGTATGGTTTCATATGGGGTGAAGAAGTCTCTTTTTTTACTTTTCAAAGCCATGTGTTATATTAAATATCTATACTGAGCAAACACAATGCATAAACAGGGCTGAATATTAAAGCTTCAAACATAATGTGTGGCTGAAAACCTTAGAAAAATAGCTGCTTGGAAAAGTAGAGGCAGGGAAGGGGTTAAATAACTAGGTATAAGGCAGTGAAAACTTTCTTTTGCTTGCATGCAATAAAAGCTTTCAGTTACATTGCTGCCTGCAGCACTATATGGAGTGGTGCAATAGTGCACAACTCCAACTGGTAAAGTGATGGTTGTCTTTCTGTTGAGTAATGCAGCTTAAAACTCCTGAGGAAGAGAAAACACACCTGAAAGCCTTCTTACTGCCACACCTAGTTTTTTCCTTTTCTCTGTCAGTTGAAGAAAATAATACCAAGTTAAAACACCAGCATTAAAGCTGAAAACCCGAACCCAGAAATATCAGGAAATTTAAAGCGTAGAGTCTCAAAAACAATGTTCTCTCAGCCTCATTCCACAAGTGTATTGGTGCCAAATGAAGAAGTGAATATCGATTTTGAAGCCATGACTTTTTCATTAGCTGCTTGTTTTGTGTTCAGAATTATTTAGTGTTTTTTATTTTTAATTGTGACTTTTACCTTTGATTTAATATATAATTCATTTTAATCCTTCATGCCAAATTAATCAAAAAAGGCCCTGTACAAAATGTAATCATATACACATTTGGGTTGGTGAACTGAATCTGTATTGGTTTAACAGCTCTATACTTTCAACATTCATTTATGGATAGAGACTCCGGAAACCTGGGCTGATGGCTTGGTTCTGCCACAGACTTCTTGTGTAACCTTAAGCAAATCACTTATTCTGTCCTAGTGGAATTTTTTTAAAGTGTCTCTAAGAGATAGGTGACTAATGTCCATTGAAAGTTAATAGGAGATAGGTGTTTTCAGGTAACTTTTAAAAATCTGGTCCTCTGTGATCCATGTAACATGGAAAAGGATGGGGACACACCGAGTTTGCAGTTTGCCCTGATTTAAACAAAGAATGGGGCAGATAATTCCCCAAACTGGAGGATATGCCAATACTTAGGTTTATCGAGCCAATATGAAACAGAGCATGAAACAGCTTCTATAATACCTTATTGGTTACTTAGGGTGTATCTAGACTACGCTAGACTTTTGAAAGAGGCTGTGCAAAATCCGCAGGAATTTGCGTATCTTCTTTTGAGCTCACTTTCAAAAGCGGCACTTTCGAAAGTGAAAGTAATTAAGACGTGATTTTGTCGGTGAACCCTCCCGTTTGTCGACAAGCCGCATAAACCTCATTTTTTAAGAAAAAGTGGCTTGTCGACAAACGGGAGCGTTCACTGACAAAACTACTGGATTAGTTTCACTTTCAAAAGTGCCGCTTTCGAAAGTGAGCTCGAAAGAAGATATGCAAATTCCGGTGGATATTTGCATATCCTCCTTGAAAGTCTAGCATAGTCTAGACATACCCTAACAAAAATTTGGGGCTTGATGTTTAATTGCCTTGCCTCTTGTGTTGTGATTCATCTAACACCTGTACAAAACAGACATCTGATTTAAGGGAATGGTTTACATAGTTACAAATAAATTCACAATGTCCAGTGCTCTGGGGAACCAAATACTTAAAAAAAAAATCAGTTCATAAAGCAAACAAAAAAGCCTCAATTCTCTCAGTTACTAACAGTTTTCCATGACTATAGGAATTGGACAAAGTGTCCAGCTATGGAGGAAATCCCCAGTGTTTCCTTGGAGAACATTATTGATAGTAGAAACATCACCTTCATTCGCTGGAAGGTTCATAACGATTGGGTGACCAAGGTAAGAGGATTTGACTTCCATTTGACTTCATTTTTTGAGGAGTAACATTAGTTCGGACTAAGGGCTTTAGTCCGAACTAACGCGTCCCGGCGCGCACTTCCTGGTTCGAATCAGCTGTGATTCGAACTAGCACGCCGGCGAGATCATGTTAATGGAGCGCGGGATATTTAAATCCCCGCTTCATTAACTACTTCGATTGTCTCCATTTGCATCCCTAGTTCGAACTAGGGATGCAGTGTAGACATACCCTCAGCTAATTTCATGTGTAAGGAAGCTTAAAAATACTGAAATTGGGTCAGTATATTCTGTATCCAAGTATAAGTATATTCTGTATCTAAGTATAATCAGGGTATGAATGAGCTTTCCTCACCCCTCCCCCCCATTGCCCTGACTTCTGGTGATGCACTGGGGAAAAAAGACTTCAGGAACATACCATGTTTGCATAGACATGCCTGCTGTACCTAAGCTAGGTTTGCACTACACATTTATTTCAGAATAAGCTATTTTGGAAGAAATATTCCGAAATATCTTATTTTGAAATAATGGATCTGAAACTGCCACTGTGCAGATTTGAATCTGGGACCTCTGAAACTTAGTATAGGAACGGTTACAGGTTGAGCTATAAAGCCAAGCTCTCAGTCCAGGCTGGAAAGGTCTCTTGTTCTTATCAGTTGCTGTAAGTGCTCTAAGCGCCACTGCATGGAACAGTGAACCACACTAGGGCTACATCTATACAGCAGCCTTCTTCTACAAAAGCTTATGCAAATAAAGTGCAGAGTAGAATATCGCAAGGCTTCATTTGCATAATTAATTAGTAGCTGTTTTTGGGCAAGAGGCTTTTGCACAAAAAGGAGCTGTGTAGACGGCTCCTTTTTGCGCAAAAAACCCCTCTTGCGCAAGAGCCGTTCTTACTGAAAAAATGAAGAACAGCTCTTGTGCAAGAGGATTTTTTTGCGCAAACAGCCGTCTACACAACTCCTTTTTGTGTAAAAGCCTCTTGCGCAAAAACGGCTGCTAATTAATTATGCAAATGAAGCACGGCGATATTCTACTCCGTGCTTCATTTGCATAATCTTTTGCGGAAGAAGGCTGCAGTATAGACCTAGCCTAGGTGTGTGGGTTACATACTTCCCCTAGCTGAAGAGAGGCAGGGGCAGGCTCTTGGAGGGAGATAAGGAGCAGAAGAGGGTATCGACTTGGAGCAGGGGGTTCAGGGTGAGGGGTCCAGCCAAGTGGTGCTTACCTCAGGCGGCTATTTGGCGATGCACCTGGATTAAGTCAGGCTCCACATTGCTCCTTGAAGCAGCCACCATGTGGCCAGACAGCTCTGTGCAGTGTGTGTTACCTGCAGGCGCTGCCCCAGCAGCTCCCATTGACCACGGTTGCTGGCCAGTGGGAACTGTGGAGTAGGTGCTGGGAGGGGTCCAGCCAAGTGGTGCTTACCTCAGGCGGCTATTTGGCGATGCACCTGGATTAAGTCAGGCTCCACATTGCTCCTTGAAGCAGCCACCATGTGGCCAGACAGCTCTGTGCAGTGTGTGTTACCTGCAGGCGCTGCCCCAGCAGCTCCCATTGACCACGGTTGCTGGCCAGTGGGAACTGTGGAGTAGGTGCTGGGGTGGTGCACAAAGTTCTCTGATTGTCCTGTGCTTAGGTGCTGCAGAGAAATGTTGTCTGCTTCCAGGAGCAGCATGGAGCTGTCCAGACTTTTAATGACCAGGTAATGCTAGAATCCCCCCCTTGACAGGGTGAACTGGCTCCAGCCCTTCAGGGGAAGCCAAGATTCAGGGCTTCCGGTCCGTGGTCTTGCCATATGCCCGATAAAATTAAGCAGTGAGCTGGATTTGACCTGTAGGCTGTAGGCCCTCATCCCTGATCTATGCAATTTCAGCAAAGCATTCTCTTTTCACATATAGGGTTTCACAGGATATCGTGTTATAAAGATGACCTGTGACAGACAAAGCATATAGGAGACTAACATTACTGGCAAAAATCATGCTAAGAGTCACATTGACTGCAACGTTGTTTTAAATGAAGATGGTGAAGAATGATTTTTTCCCTGTCTGTGAAATACAGTTGTCAGAATTTTTCCAGATGTTCGATGAGTTCATCATGTCTTTTTGCTTGTACTCAGATAGTTAGTCCTTTCTCACCATGAACAGTTTTCCAGTTGTTGTGCTGACAAGATTGAAATAGTTTAGACGATAAATTGGCTGCTTTTGTGCTTGCAAAACCATTTCTGGAGGAGAGAAATATATAATCGTCTCTGGTACAGTCCTGGGCAATTTCAGCCATAGATTTTCTAGATTCAGCTTGTGATAAGAATGTTAGCTATAGGGTTATAGAATTGTTGACTAACTGCATTCTGTATCAGAGGCAGAAGTGCGGGGTGCTAGGCGGGAGCCAGTCTGCGAGGGGATCCAGTTTAAAAACCAGCTCCACTCACTCACCAGCTGCCTGCCACCCCACGCTACTATCTCTCATACAGAGAGAGCAGCTCTGGGTGGCAGCAGCCCTTGTCTGTGGTGGGTCTGAGTTCCTTGTTCACAGAGGCTGCTCTGCCTCCCATGGAGTAAAGTGAGAAGGCTTCTGTTCATTTGACGACCAGGTTTTCATGGACCTGTTTGCAAACCATATCTGGCTAGACAGTGCTGTCTTTGGGTACGTCTACACCACAACACTATTTCGAAATAACTAGTGCTATTCCTAAATAACTTAGTCCGTGTCTACACAGCAGGCAGTTATTTCAAAATAGTGTCAAAATACTGTCAAGCTGGAGGATTTCTTACTCCGATTCCTGTAACCTTCATTGTACGAGGAATAAGGGAAGTCGGAGGAAGAGTGCTCTATTTCGAAATAAGTGCTGTGTAGATGCTTCCTATTTCGAAGTAAGCTATGCAATTGACATAGTTCAATTTGCGTAGCTTATTTCGAGTTAAGCCCTGCAGTGCAGACGCACCCTCAGAGCATTAAAGTAGGACTCAAAGGCAGAGCTTAACTCAAAATAAGCTACTCAAATTGAAGCTACATCAATTGCGTGTCTTATTTCAAAATAGCGTTGCAGTGTAGACGTACCCTGAGAAATACCAGTAAACTATGTGGGGGAATTGCCTGTTTGCCCTGAGGACTCCCTTTTCCAGGATTCCACAGGTGCTATATATGAATTGAGATTAGCCAGCGAGGTGGTGCTATTAAGCAGCCCTAAAATTTGAATCCATGATGGTTAGGGAAGGATACTCTGTTTGAAAGACTATCAATTTAGGAATTTACTTCCCTTGCTAGTTGGATAGACTCTGAGTTATTGGTCACTGGGGCAAGGTATAAGACCCATCTTGTTTTTTCAGGCTTTTGCCTAGGCAGGGAGGAGAGTGGCTGTGCTTGTGTATGGTTTCATATGGGGTGAAGAAGTCTCTTTTTTTACTTTTCAAAGCCATGTGTTATATTAAATATCTATACTGAGCAAACACAATGCATAAACAGGGCTGAATATTAAAGCTTCAAACATAATGTGTGGCTGAAAACCTTAGAAAAATAGCTGCTTGGAAAAGTAGAGGCAGGGAAGGGGTTAAATAACTAGGTATAAGGCAGTGAAAACTTTCTTTTGCTTGCATGCAATAAAAGCTTTCAGTTACATTGCTGCCTGCAGCACTATATGGAGTGGTGCAATAGTGCACAACTCCAACTGGTAAAGTGATGGTTGTCTTTCTGTTGAGTAATGCAGCTTAAAACTCCTGAGGAAGAGAAAACACACCTGAAAGCCTTCTTACTGCCACACCTAGTTTTTTCCTTTTCTCTGTCAGTTGAAGAAAATAATACCAAGTTAAAACACCAGCATTAAAGCTGAAAACCCGAACCCAGAAATATCAGGAAATTTAAAGCGTAGAGTCTCAAAAACAATGTTCTCTCAGCCTCATTCCACAAGTGTATTGGTGCCAAATGAAGAAGTGAATATCGATTTTGAAGCCATGACTTTTTCATTAGCTGCTTGTTTTGTGTTCAGAATTATTTAGTGTTTTTTATTTTTAATTGTGACTTTTACCTTTGATTTAATATATAATTCATTTTAATCCTTCATGCCAAATTAATCAAAAAAGGCCCTGTACAAAATGTAATCATATACACATTTGGGTTGGTGAACTGAATCTGTATTGGTTTAACAGCTCTATACTTTCAACATTCATTTATGGATAGAGACTCCGGAAACCTGGGCTGATGGCTTGGTTCTGCCACAGACTTCTTGTGTAACCTTAAGCAAATCACTTATTCTGTCCTAGTGGAATTTTTTTAAAGTGTCTCTAAGAGATAGGTGACTAATGTCGATTGAAAGTTAATAGGAGATAGGTGTTTTCAGGTAACTTTTAAAAATCTGGTCCTCTGTGATCCATGTAACATGGAAAAGGATGGGGACACACCGAGTTTGCAGTTTGCCCTGATTTAAACAAAGAATGGGGCAGATAATTCCCCAAACTGGAGGATATGCCAATACTTAGGTTTATCGAGCCAATATGAAACAGAGCATGAAACAGCTTCTATAATACCTTATTGGTTACTTAGGGTGTATCTAGACTACGCTAGACTTTTGAAAGAGGCTGTGCAAAATCCGCAGGAATTTGCGTATCTTCTTTTGAGCTCACTTTCAAAAGCGGCACTTTCGAAAGTGAAAGTAATTAAGACGTGATTTTGTCGGTGAACCCTCCCGTTTGTCGACAAGCCGCATAAACCTCATTTTTTAAGAAAAAGTGGCTTGTCGACAAACGGGAGCGTTCACTGACAAAACTACTGGATTAGTTTCACTTTCAAAAGTGCCGCTTTCGAAAGTGAGCTCGAAAGAAGATATGCAAATTCCGGTGGATATTTGCATATCCTCCTTGAAAGTCTAGCATAGTCTAGACATACCCTAACAAAAATTTGGGGCTTGATGTTTAATTGCCTTGCCTCTTGTCGCAAACTGCGTAGCTTTTTTAAAGGTAATTTTGAAATAAATTGCTATTCCTAAACTTCCCTTATTTCTTGTGGAATGCAGTTTACAGGGACGTTGGACTAGTGAGCCCGTTTATTTTGAAATAATGGGCATGCTCAAAGGAGCATGGAATAGCAGTGCAGTGTAAACGTAGCCTTAGAAGCCAAAACACAGTTCCCTTAAAAGTAGCCCAGCCTTTTGTGCTCTCTCCCAGACAGTCAAGTTAGCTATGAAAGTTCTACCAATCCCAGATTGGCCATATTACCTCCCAAGTTAATGAATATTCCAGATCTTACCTATATACATGCTTCTAGTTAGTTCTTATTAACTACACTAAGATTTATTAGAAAAGAGAGTGCGTGAGTATTGGTTAAAAGGTCAGTAAGCATACAGAAATGAGTATGGTTCTGAAATCACTTTCATAGGAGAGGTAGTGAACTTTAGTTGCAGAGAGTTCTTAGAATTAGTCTGTAGTTTGTCTAATATTTCATACCCAGGATGATCCAGATGGTCTATAGATCTCAGTCTTATGAGTCAAACATCCCACAAAATAAAGATCAAGCAGAGCTGAGATGAAAGGATCAGGTCCCAAGAGTCCTGAATACAGTTCCTGAGCAGCACAGAGTTCTCAGATGAACAATAGACTTTTGATGTAACCTGCTTTACAAACATTATCAGCAATTAACCACATGGATTAACATAAGATAATTTAAAGTTTGTGAAGAACTGCTTAATGTGCAAAGAGACACATAAAATTACATTACCACACATTTCATCTAAAAGTTAATAATCCCTTTTGATTTCTGAATCAATTTCATAGACAGTGACTGTCTGTTTACCTGGGTTAACATCTAACAAGCTATAAGTGAGCACATATAATTAGTATCACCCCCTAATTCTCTAGTAATACAGGTTTACATTTCAAAATTCTAGCCTATCTAACATGGACTGGCCCTAATTATCATTTACACAATTCTCTAATCTGTCATTAAAGGTTGAATATGGGTTACTGAGCCTGAGAGCTCCCTAACCTTTTCTTGTCATGTGCCACAGCTTCAGTGCCCCATCTTTAAAAGGGAGGAAAAAGACTCAGTTCTCCTCTGGATACAAAGCTCAAGTGCATTAGAGGATGGGTTAGGAAGGAACTGATTGCAAATGCATGATTCTTAGCTGACTTGTGGAAAGATGGGACAGCAAAGAATCAGTTGCGTTGGCTTCTGGCTTCATTACACCCCCATTCCTCAAAATGCTTCTAGCAAAAAAGATAATCCAGCCCAACAATACTTTCTCTTATTTACTCTTTGCATGTTTTGTCTAGTTAGATTGTGAACTTTTAATGGTGAGGTCTGGTAAGTTCATATCCAGTGCCTAGCACAGTGAAGCACTGATCTTGGTTGGGGCCTCTTACATGCTATTTTAATATAGATAAATAACAACTATGGCAATATTGGAATGAATTATTCCACATTCATTATTTAATGGTGGTTTATTCTAATTATACAA